GATATTGGTTTTGGATTATAAATCGCTAAACGATTATATATATATGTGGAATTTTAATTGCTGAATTAATAGATTCTGTCAATTACATGGTTGTGGAGGATGGTATGAACCGGTATGGGACGGTGTCATACTAGGGATGGTTTAGCTCAAAACGCATAAACCTAACCTATTGGATTTAAGGGAAGGATTGTAAAATATTGAATCCTAAACCTTGTTTAGTCAGATCGACTGATTAAGTTGAAAGACTATCTGGATTAATTATGTTTGTGTGTAGTCGGATCGACTGATTAAGTTGAATGACTACCTAGATTAAATGTTGGTTGTGTTTAAGTCAGATCGACTGATTAAGTTGAATGACTAAACTGGATTAAAATTCTTATGTCAATTCAATAAACAATAAAATGGCATACCTTGGGTTAGACGGACTTTATATATATGTTATGGCACCACGATATGGGCATGAGTCTTAGAGTCGTTGGTTAGGGAGCGTATATGCATTGGGATGCATAGCTGGATATAATGGTTGAGGTGTACCCTATTAGGTCTAGGTATTCATGCCCACCTTTGGGTGCGTTTTTGCATGTTGCCTTCTACTCAGGTTGAGACCCCATTATAGTCCAGTGAAGGTCCTCTAGTGTGAATATATTTATGTATGGACTAGATAGATATTGTGAGGTATTTAGGTATATCTGCGTATCGGGTCACTGTATGGATTGCAGTTAGATTAGAACTTGTTCGTGGGCCTGACCCACTCTTATTTTTCAGGTATTGGACGGTTCCAGTCTTAGGCTTGATCGTGCTGTGCAGGGATTATCATTCATTCCACCGACGACGTATGATGTCCTTCCATATTTTTGTATTTGGTTTTATGTCAGTTGTTTACATTTCAGTTGAGATTTTTATTTAGGGGTCCACTAGATGGATTCCCGAGTTGTAATTCATGGAAGTTTTGGAAGTTGGATTTTATTAAGTTTTATCAGGCTATTGAGGATTTTATATTAGTATTCTGTTCAGATTTTAATAGTTATTCTTATTTCATTTTTTTTCATATTATGTTCGTTTTAAAATACTTTAATTGTTTGATTTCCCTGGGGTTTGGGCCTGGGCCTGATCAACCCATGTCTCGGATCCGAGGGGTATCGCACCAATAGATTTGACTCAACCTGTGGAAAAGAATCCATATCCATCAAAAAATAAGAGACTTTTTTGATGGGAAGGTAAAGGTAAAGGGATCTGTTGGAGAGCTTACAAGGGCAAAACCCAGTTCACTTGATTTGGTGTCAATTTGGTGGTGGTTGTGGGGGGTGATGATGGATGTGGCTGTGGGTGGTGGAGTTGTGATGCGGCGGGCCAACAACTACGATATATGGTAGGGGTGATTGGTGATGGTGATATATGTGTGTGTGTGTGTGTGTGTGTGTGTGTGTGTGTGTGTGTGTGTGATTTGGTGGAAAAAATAGAATGTCGTGGTGGTAGGAAAAAAAACCTGGCAATTTTAGACGCAAAAATCTTTGCTGCCCTTCTCTGCAATTACCCCCATCCTCTCTCTCTCTCTCTAAAACTCTCTTCTTGTCTAGGAAAAATTCAACAATCATGACAGAGAGGTAGAGAAAGAAAGAGGAAGGTTCATGACAGAGCGGTGGTGGGTGGTGATTGTAATGGGTAGTTTGGTCATAAAAAAAAGTCAATATGAGGTGAAAGGGTAGTATAGTCATTTAACTAGGGCTGCAAATGAGCCGAGCCGAGTCGAGCTTTAGGCTGCTCAGGCTCGGCTCGCCTAAGTTAAAGGGCTGCTCGGGCTTGGCCAAGCCTGGCCTAGCCATGCCGAGCTCGGCTCGGTAAATTTTTTATGAGCCCGAGCTTGGCTCGGCTTAAGCTTGTATGCGGGGGTCTCTATATATACATATATATATACCGAGTTCTATCTATCCTTGGAATATAAAAACGTGATGATTTGTTCGACAAATTAAACACTCTTCTTCTCTATTCTTCAGTCTCATTAACCCACTTCAATTGATTTATCTGATATATTATTAATATTATTAGATCTGATATATCAATAATATTATTAAAGGAAATAATAAGCTAGAGAGAGATGGAGGAAAGACGGACTTAACCTTGATGTCACCTTAGGAATAAGGAATAGTAGACAGTTGCCTGAAGAGAGGATGGTGCACTGGCAGGATTTTGTTATTGATAGACCAGTGGAATGGAGAATCTGTTGCAGACACGGAATTGGAGAAGTTGAACATATTGAAGCTGTTTTTTTTTTTTTTTATTTAATTTTTATCCCCAACCCTAAAGATATAAGTTCAATCAATGGCTGAGATGAATCTATGGCTAATTAATTCAATGGGCCTCTAAATGCCCAAATGTTAATTGGGCTAATGAATATATATATGTGTGTGTGTAAAATTGGGCTGGATTTGTATACATGGGGTAGTTTTAATATAATAATTTATACCAGTATTTTATATATATATATATATATATATATATATATATATATATATATTTATTTATTTATGTAAACGAGCCTAAAAATTGAGCTTAGGCTCAGCTCATTTGCTAAACGAACAAGCCCGAGCCGAGCTTTTAGCGAGCCGAGCCTGAGCTGTTCATGAACAGCTCGGTTCATTTGCAGCCTTACATTTAACACTTCAAAGTACTCTGACTCCATTAAAAATTGACCTTTGGGGTCTAAGTAAAATGTTAAACCACTAATTCAAATATAAATAAAATTTAAAACTAAAATATTAATTTAGGTGAAATGACCTAACCACAAGGGGTCTGAGTGTAATTTACCCTACAATAAACCAGTAAAGAAAGTAAGTAAAAAAAAAAAAAATTGAAAATAGATAATGTGTGAAGTGGTTATAAAAGGGTAGGACAATAATTTGGTCACTATCCTTTCTTTTCTTTTCTCTTCTCTATCTTACCCAAATAAGAATAACTATCATTTCTTTTCTTTTCTTCCATATCTATCCAAATACGAATATAAATTATTACTATCATTTATTTTCTTTTCTTTTCTCTCCTAACTAATATTATCATTTTTTTTCTTTTCTCTCTTATCTATCTAAACGCGGGTGTGTTTGGATGAGATGATTTGGAAGGATAGGGAGAAAAAAGAAAAGAAATGATAGGGTGTGAGTGTGTTTGGGTGGATTAAATGGAGAGAAAATAGAGGAGGTATCCCCTCCCTATCCCTCATTTGCTTTCTCTCCAATTTTGAGAAGATAGGGAGAAAAAACATAGGCTCCGTTTGGTTAAATGGAAATAAGCAAGAAAAGAAAAGAAATGGAAAATGAAAGAAAAGTAAAGTGAATGAAAAAAAAAAAAAAAAAATTATTTTCTAGCATGCATTTGGTTAGAATGAAAATTTATTCAAGAAAATTTAAAAAAAATATTTTTTTGTTATTTTGGATAGTATGAAAATGAAAAAAAAAATTGGTTGAAGATACTAAATTTACCCTTATAATTTTAAATACTAATAAATAAATGAATTTGTATTTGTTGATATCTATTTTTTGCAAAGAAATAGTAAAATAATAGATTATTAAATTTAATAATATAATTATTTATATTATATTTATATTTAAAATAAGACTTGATAATATTTTCTGAGGCAAAAGTAGAACTAATTATTAGTGTATGAGAAATGAAACTTTTAAAAAAAAAACACGGAGATGTATTGATGGCAATACTAATTTTTTTTTAGAGAGATTTGATTCTATTTTGTTGTTGCCACTTATATATGGACTTGTGAAAACACAAAGAAAGGTGAAAAAAAAAAAAACAAAACAAAGAAAAAGTTGTTTCGCAGAGAACTTGCCTTGCCTCTTAGAAATCCAGTACAAAAATAAAGAAAGAAATTGTTTTTCACGATTAAGTTAAATGGGTAAAATAGAAATGTCAAATAAAAAGACAAACATTTCAGGCGAAAAATTATTTCCCTGTGTTTTGTGCTTGACATTTTTTGAGAGAAAATAGACAAATATGAAAACAATTTTTTTCATTAATTTTCTCTTTCTATCTATCCAAACTTTAAAAAGATTTAAAAATTTTCTCAATCCTTTCTTTTCTAATTGTTTCTAAGCTCTGTTTGGTTGGGTAGAATCAACTAGAAAAGGAAGGAAAGTGAAAATTTTATAACTTTTTTAGAGTTTGGATAGAATGAGAATGAAACATTCTGGAAAATTTAAACGGTCGCAATCTGTTATTTTCCCCAAACCTACCCAAAACATGCGAAAATAAAATTTGACTTCTATAAATAGTAATATCATTTTTTTTAGATATATATTACTACTAATTAATTCTTTATTATTCTACTATTTATTTTATTATTTTACTATTTTTATAAAATAAGAAAAATATAACATAAGGACAATTTAGGTAAATACAAATATTTTTAGTAACTTTTATGCTCTTCAATACAATTTTCTTGAATAATTTTTCATTCTTTTTATTCACTTCACTTTTCTTTTCATTTTCTATTTCTTTTCTTTTTTTTCTCGTTCTATCTAACTAAGTAGAGCAACTAACCTCCATAAATCAATACACAAATTTGTTATTCCATTCAAGTTATATGCATCTTTGGAGTTTTACATCCCAATTGGGTAGGACATAATTTTTTTTATTTATTCACTTCACTTTTCTTATCATTTTCTATTTTTTTTCTTTTCTTCCTCTTCCATCTAACCAAACGGAACAATAGTAATTTTAGTGATATTTTGATAATACCGCAACTAGCCTCCATAAATCACAAATTTGTTATTCTATTCAAGTCCCTGTTATATGCATCTTTAGAGTTTTATATCCCAATTGGGTACGACAGTAATTTGATTTTTACCATTCCTTCTATTTTCTCTCATCTTTTTTATCCAAACTTGTCTTCTTTTCTCCCCTATTTATTCAAATACAAATAAAAATTATTACTAAGCATCCTTTATTTTTTCTTTTAACTAATAATATCACTTCTTTTATTTTCTTCCTGTATCTCAAAATCTTTCATTCCAAACGGACCCTTCAAAGAATTCGCGCCAGACTCCGAATGTCCAAATGGATCATGCACCGAACATCTACGGAGCCTTCAGGTGTTCAAAATTCTAGGGTTTCAAAAAACATCACTCAGCTTGGCAATGGCGGCAGCAGTAACTCTTCAGCTGCTCAGACCGAAGCACAGAACCATCGGAAACCCTAATTTCATTCACTTCTTCTCGTCGTCAATCTCAGACCCCAACGCCGAAGACCAAAACACCACTTCTTCAACACCATCGCAACCGCAACCGCAACCGCAATCACAGTCACAGCCACATTCTTCGTTCTCTTCTTACTTCAGCGACGTCAGATCCAGTCTCAAACAATCACCACCACCACCACAGCAAAGGCAACCTCGCAAACCGTTCTCTCCTTCCTCCTCCACCCCAAACACCACCAAGGTCGCTTCATTCGAAGAAATCCGCAAGAACCTCGCCGAATTCCGCCGTCGATCCTCCGTGCCACCGCCCGGCGGCCAACCATCTCCTCCGCAGTCGCAGAGCATCTCGTTCCAGGAGCTCTACAAGCGAAATGTGATATCGACAGGTGAAGGATCTAACACCGCGGAAGCCAATAAAGGCACGAAGCTTACTTTTGATGCGATTCGTGAGAGCCTCCGGCAGATTCGAACGAACACGCCGAAGCAACAAGGCAATGGAGATGCTAGGCGGAACGATTCGATGTCGCTTTCGAGTTATAAAGAGGTTTTGAATACAAAACGGGTTTATCCGAATGCGAACAAGTCTACGACGGCGTTCGAAAGGGATGAGCTACCGTCATCGGTGTTTGAGAGGGAAATGAATGTGAAGAAGGATGTAGAGTCGTCGGCGGCGATGAAGACGGAGTTTGTTAAGATGTATGGTTATGATGAGTTGGGGGAGAAGTTGAGGAGGTTGAGGCCGGCGACCAAGGGAGGGAGTTGGTTTTCATTGGGAGAGTTGAATGAGAGGTTAATGAAGTTGAGGGAGATTGAAGAGAAGGAAACAGATTCAAATATTGGCGGCGTCAAATATAAAGATTTGAGAGAGAGTCTTCAGAGGTTGAAGTTTTTGGATGCAGAGAAGACCAAGAAAGCTTCGTGTAAGTGATTCTTTTGCAAGCTGTTGAATTGATGATATGGTTGTTCTTTTACATATAAATTTCCGGTGACCAAAAAAAAAAAAAACTTAATTTTTTGTTTACTTGAGTCAATATATTGATGTTGAATTGTTGCAATGGTCTGTAATTCATTTTGATGGTTGATATCAAAATATTCTTATTGTTCTGAACTTTAGAATTTTTCAATTCAGCTTCTCAAATGCTAAAATATGGTCCAAGTGTTTGATATTGTTCCTATTCAAATTATGTCTGTTATATGTATACTTCAATTCCCTTTTGAGAGGGGAGAAAGTTAGATTTGGTACAATTCATAATGAGGGTTTATAATTTTATATAATAATGGAATTGTTTTTTCCTGCTATAATTCATCATTTTTTCATCTGAGTAATTTTGTAGGGCTGAGATTTGATGCACTTTTACTTTATAATTGATTTTTGCATTCTTTTTTTCTTCTGGATGCTAGCATTAGGCTTGCCTATTTCATATTTATATGAAAATTGTAACATTGTCTTCTTTGTGCCACCAATTCTGTTGAGCTTTCTCTGCATATTTGCTAGTGTGGATTCTGTTACTCACTTTCCATGTTTAAAAGCCATGTATATTCATTAGCACTTTCGGTGTTTATTTATTTATTTTTTTGGGTTGGATTTTTGGAATGTATAGATCCTGCTGTAATGTTGTTGCAGAGGGAAAATTTTAAAACCTTCCATCACTCTGCTATATCAATTCACCGAACATCACTCTGCTATTAATCTGGTTTTTCGTTTTGGTGTTGAGTTTCTGTTGGAAATCATTTTGTGCATTCATGCAATGATCAACCTGAGAAAATGCTTTTTATTTTTTTAGTATTATATTATTTTTTATTTTTTTTTTACAGCTTTTAGCCGCTCTTAAGTGGAATAATTTTTGTGTGTGCAAATTTCTTATCCTTTTTGATGAGCTTGATCAATAGAGACATGGTTGATAATGTACTTATACGTCCCAAAAGCTAATATTTCTTTTTCCCTTGATTATGAGTCGGTAATCTTTATTGAGAAGTAATCTGGTGAGTTTGCAAACTCCTATTTACCTAAAATTTGGATCAATACCGTTTTCTACTTTTTCTTTATGCATAGACACGAGTAGTTTCTATGGTACATCCTGTTATAGAATTGATTCATACTCTATTGATCAGATTCTTTATTACAGTTCAAAAACTCAATGTCTTAGGCCAGCTTGCTGGACCTCCAACTTATATGCTGTCACCTCCTAAAGAGATGTTAGTTGAAAAGGCAAGTATTGCTTTCTTGAATATAGTGTCTCTCCTTTTTAATTGTTCTGTGGAACTTCATTGAATTCATGTCGGTATGTTAGTGGCCCATGCTTCGTTTTTTGCCAATACAACCCAGTTAAGAAAGACTACCTAAACCAGTTAAAGAAGGTGAATATATTACTGTCCACTCGTAATCTCATATTTGTGGAAATCATGAGATATTATTCAAATTCCTAAACAAGTTCACTGTAATTCTATGCAGCAAGAATTTCTGAGTGCAATAATGAAACCTTGAATGGGATGTATTGATGCTTTGAAATCCTGTTTGTGATATTTGCATGTTTTTTCCATTATCATGTCAAATTATCATTTTCAGAATACTTAGTTTGTGGTTTGATAAAAGGTTGGATTTTTCCTTGATGAATGAAAATAGAAAGGAAGGAATGGAAAATGGAAATTCGATCAACATGCATTATTTATGGCGTGTTTGGTAGATGGGAAGTGGAAGGAAAATAATGGATAGAAATGGGAAGGGACAGACTGTTTGATAGGATGGAAGGAGGGAAGGGAATAGAGTAGGGAGCACTTTCCCTTTGCATTGATTAAATTTTTATGTTCAAAAGTTTACCCAAAAAAGGAGGGAAGGAAGGAGCTCCCCCCCTCCCTTTTTCTTTTAATTTTCCAAAGCTCTTATCTTTTTCTTTGAAAGTCTGCAGAGAAACACACTGTAATTGGTTCATGATTATTGGTTTTTTATAGGAGTTTGAAGTTACTCAACCTTTTTAATGTTGCTGTTATAAATAGAAAGCTCATGGTGTAATAATTCTTTTGTTTTATGCAGTATTTCCATCCAGATAACATGTCATCTGCAGAGAAACTGAAACTTGAGCTTAAAAAAGTCAGAGATGAATTTAAATTGTCAGAGTCAGATTGTGGATCAACTCCTGTTCAAGGTAAAGCATCCTGTAGTTGATTTTGTCATGGTTTTCCATCCGGTAAAAATTGTATGATTTATTTCCTGTTGCATGATATATGTGCATAATCTTTTTTTCCAAGTCTCCCCAAGAACATTGTGAAAATTCTTTGCCTGGATAAAAAATAATAATCTTTGTTTCTTTTTTCTTTAAATATGCTATTGTTACTGAAATTTTTCTTCATATCTTTATGATTTGAAGAGAAAGCTAGAAACACGGGCAAGGTTGTTTGAAAAGAGACTTCTCTCTGATTACAATCATTTCAATCTCCAAATCCAATCATCTTATATAGTGTGTTTGGAGAAAGAAGATTGTGTTTTGCTGTCAAAGAGGAAAGGGAAGGAAATTTTGGAATGGAACAACCCATTGTTGAACTTGAGATACTTATCACAGTGAATTTCATATAATTTTCCTTTTCCTTTACCTCTGTATTCTTTGTAGCTTTATGTATGTGTGTGTAGAGAGAGAAGGGTCATGTGTCTGGGAGAGTTTTAGAGAGTGTTTTAGAAAGAGGGAGATTTTTAGAGATAGAATGAGTTTTAGATAGAGGGTTGTGACAACCCGGATTTTTAAGATTTTAATATATATTTATTTCATGACTTTTAGTTGTCAAAGATTGATTATTTAAATTTAATTGGAGACTTATCCAATTAAAGATTCATGTATTAGTTTATTTGTTTTGGTTTTGTTACATATTTTATATATATATGTAACAAAACCAAAACAAATAAACTGAAACATGAATCTAATTTTTCTTTTCCTTTACCTCTGTATTCTTTGTAGCTTTATGTATGTGTGTAGAGAGAGAAGGGTCATGTGTCTGGGAGAGTTTTAGAGTGTTTTAGAAAGAGGGAGACTTTTAGAGAGAGAATGAGTTTTAGATAGAGGGTGGTATGTGAGAGAAAATTAGGAGTTAGTGAGATGGTAGAAGTGTCTTTGCATTACACTTCGAGGGCAAAATTGCCATTTTAAGCTTGAATTTTGATGACATCACATATTTGACAGTTACTGAGACTGACGACGGGGCGATTTGTTACAAATGTATTAACTAGAGGGGTGTAATTTAGATTATCCAAATTTAAGGGGAGGACAATGTATTTTTTACCTAACTAGTGGTGGAGGTAAGTGCAATTTTTCCTTCAATCTAATAGAAAGGGTCTTTTGGTCATAATATAAAAAAGTAATGAATTGTGAACATGTGAGGTACATGACTGTTTTCCATCCATGTCAAGGGAAAAAAGAGGACAGGATATTTTGTAGGGTTTTACAATAGTATAGGGGGGTTAATTGCCAAATTTAGAATCCGCGCCGGCGGGGTTATTTGCAAATTTGAGAAAACCTACGGCTTCGTATGGTAGATGGAAATAAGCAAGAAAAAAAAAGAAATAGAAAATGAAGTGAATGAAAAGAAAAGTAATTTTCTAGCATGCATTTGGTTAACAAGAAAATTGTAGAAAAATACCAATTAGTTAGTTTGGATAGCATGAAAGTAAAAAGAAAGTGATTATACATACCAAAACTACCCTTTTGATTTCAAATGCTAAAAAAATAAATAAATTTGTGTTTAATTATATCAATTTTTAGTAAAAAAATGGTAAAATGTTGGATTATTAAATTTAATAATATAATTGTTTAATATTTATTTCTATTATTTATATTTAAAATAAAGCTTCATAATATTTTTTAGGTAGAACTAATTATTAGTTTAAGAGAAAGGAAACTTCAAAATATATATATATATATATATATTATATTTTTTTTTGTTGGTAAAATTATATATTGTTTTTGCGAAGTATATTATTATCAAAGTATTAGATCATATAAATACTGAAAGAAAAAGGTTAGACGAACCTCCCATCTATGTAGTAGTTTATGGCCCACGCATACAAAGAAACCCAGTAAAAAATAGAGAAAGAAACTGTGAAACAAGTTGTCTCTTTTTTTTGGCAAGTTGTTTTGCACGATTAAATTTTTGGATAAAATAGGAATATCAAATAAAATTGAACTCCTTTCACGTGAAAATATTATTTTCGTGTGTTTTGGGCAGGAAAAGTTTTGAGGAAAAATAGGCAAGTGCGAGAAACTAAATTTTCTTGTACTTTTCTCTTTCCTTCTTTCCAAACCCCAAAAAAGTTTAAAAGTTTTCTCTTTCCTTTCTTTTCTAGTTGATTCCATCTAACCAAACAAAGCCTAAAGGTTTAGTTTTTTTGCATTTTGCACCAAATTGAAATGAAACTGATATGTAATTACGTATGTTACATGGACTTTTCAAAAGTACTAAAGTATTTGTATTGAACACACAATATTAGAACATGGGTATGGGATATGTGTCCGACACTTTTGGTTAGACATGCACCTAAAAAACATATCAAATGATTCAAGTTTATCATACTATTGCTTCAAAATGAGTCAAGTGCCTAAATTAAACACTATGTAATATATAGAAATTATTTTACTCTATAAAATAAAATTAAAATATTCAATAATAAAAGTATGTAGCTATGCCTATGTACCCTTTGGTTTAGAAATTGATATGTCTGATTCTTAGATACATATCTGCACCTGACAAATGCCTATTAAACACTATGTAACATAAATAAATTATTTCTCTCTATAAAATAAAGTAAACATATTAGAAAATATAAATATTTAGCATTGTCCATGTGCCCTTTGGTTTAGAAATTTGACGTTTGATGCTTGGATACGCATCCAAACCCGACACATGTACTTGAGCCCACTAACAAAGGTAATTGCTCTAATATAAAAATGCTATTTAATTTATATTGATTTATTTTTTTCCATATTTGTTCTTCCATTTTGATGATCTGTTTACTTTTAAATGCTACGCCAATTAGAGTCATGGTATCTACACCTTCTAGTTCACAACAACTTTAATTTTTAATTTTGAACTGAAAGATACTGCTAAAAAATGACGGGAGTGACTAGACTGGTGATCGTCTCAAAGATCATATTCTAAAGAAAGCAACAAATGCAAGGGTCATGAAGTAATTGACTTTTACAAGCAGTGACCTTTGCTCAAATAGTTGATTAGTTGTTGTTGTAATTAATGTATAGAGTATCATTGGGATGCCTTCTGAAGGTAACATGCTGCATAACTTCATGGATGCATGTGAAGCAGTGAAGCCATATCACATGGACTCCTGTATGTGTGTGTCAAGTGTAAGTTTGTGTCTAGGTGATAGATTTGATACATTCAATTATATAATCTTTGTCATAGAGAAATATTGGTTAACTAGTCTCACAAGAAAAAATGCTTATATAATTAATGCCTTTAAGGTGGAATAGACAAACACATATGTTACCAAGTTGGAAAATGTGGTTGAACTAATGTAACAAATTCGGTCAGATTCGTTGGAGGCGTGGGTGTTTGGAAATTCATTCGTAAGGGATGGGATGAAATTTCTAAGCATATTAGATTCAGAGTACGGGATGGCAAGAGAGTTCGGTTCTAGGAGGATTTATGGTGTGGTGGTCGCCCGTTGGCTCATTCCTTTCCCAGACTTTTCCGGATTGCCGTGGATAGACATGCTTTGGTGGCCGACTGTTATCGGCTCAATAACGGTAGGCTTGTGTGGGATGTGCGCTTTCAGAGTTCCTTTCAAGATTGGGAGTTGGAGGAGGTTGCAGGTTTGTTGGAGTTATTGTACGGATAGGAGGTTGATGGTAGTGGCACGGACTCTCTGGTTTGGGTGCCTTCCTCTCAGGGGAGGTTCAAGGTTCGTTCCTTATTCCGTTGTCTATCTGATTTTCATGGTTCTAATTTCCCTTGGAAAACGGGGTGTTGTTCCAAGGCTCCTCTCAGAGTGGCCTTCTTTGTCTGTACTTTTATTTGGGGCAAGATTTTGACCTTGGATAATTTGAGAAAGAGAAGACAGATTACAATCAATTAGTGTTGTTTGTGCAAGAGGAGTGGCGAGTCTGTGAATCACCTTCTTTTGCATTGCCTTGTAGCTCACGATTGTTGAAGCCTTATCTTTGGCATTTTCGATGTCCATTGGGTTATGCCTCGGTCCTCGAGGGGGTTGATTGACGCTTGGCGAGGCTGTAGTGTGGGAGCCCACGCTCGTGAGTGTTGGAGGGTGGTTCTCCTTTTTGTCTAGTGGTGCTTATGGAAGGAGCGGAATAAAAGATCTTTTGAAGGGGAGGAATCTTCCTTAGTGGCCTTGAAGTTTCATATTATTAGCTCTCTTTTTAGTTGGGTTTTGGGGAGAAATTGTACATCCATTGATGAGTTTATTGGTTTTTTGGGTTCGGTGGGTCCTTAGGACCTTGTCTCTGGCTTCGGCCTTTGTATAGCTCTTGGAACGCGTTCCCCGTTTGAACGCTTTCTAATACATTTTACTTATCCATTTTTTATTTTTTATTTTTATTTTTATTTATTTTTTATATGTGGATGGTTTTACTCTTAGAGTGCTTGGTTAACATCTGAATTTACATGATTGCTTGGAGAGTGACATTTTGTGCGATGCAGTTAATATTTAAGTGCCTGTATTTGGAAGATGGTATTTAAGTGTCGATTTGTTGTAGAACTTGGTGGTTTTAAGATGTGAAAGCTGGCATTTGGAAGAAGATACTAAGGGAATGTGGTAGACGATAATTGATATTGCTGAATGGTTGGCAGAAAAGGTATTTGAAGAGCCTAAAGGATGTGGTCATTATACAAAGAAACTTGATGGTAGAATGATGACGTTCAAATACTAGCACAAAAATGCTTTCGTACACAGCTTGCTATTTGGAGATTGGGAATGTTTTAAATACAATATTTTTTAGAAAGTTAATGTTGAGGCATTCAAATATCATAAGGATATACCAGAGTAGGTTTTATTTTAAGTTCAAAATTCAAAGATACTTTATGATGAAGACAGCATATATGGAGGATAGTGTGTTTGTTTCCACCAAGAAGAAAAAAATGGTAAAGGAGAGAGAAATGAGGAAATTGTGATTGGATAAAGTCAAAATGGGATAGTTATGAAAATTGGCAGCTTAGAGGTACTTGACTGTGGTCATTTTTGGTTTTTAAAGTGTTCTGCCATTGTGGGATCATAGATCACCAATCAAAATAATATGGAATATTATACAAGAAAAATGAAGCCAATTTTTTTGTTTTAGAAAGTTATGCTATCAAAAGCATGTACAAAATTAAGATATAGGCATATAACTGAAATGGAGATATCATCACACCGAGTTGCAATACAAGAATGACAGGCAAGGAAAAAAATATATATATAGTTGATTTTATGGATAGTTTGAAAGCTGAAAGGTCTTTTGTGTTCTTGAAGTTGTATATAGGTGTGGTCCTCGTTTGAACGCTTTTCTAATATAATTTACTTATCAAATATATATAGACACACGCACACACACACACACACACATATATATGTATGGATAAGTGAAAGCCAGTGGTGGTGGCACCTATGGATGATAGGATTTGGCAAAGTCGTTTAAGAAGATTTAGATTGCAAACTTCTATATGCTCGACTTAGAAAAGGATTATGGCCTCTCCTCCTTTAAAGAGTTGATATCCTTTGAAGAGTTGATAATGTTATGCCATCAGAACAGAGTAAATAGATATTTTTTGTTTTAATTGTACAAATAGTACCTGTGTTCTTTTCAGTCTTCCTTTTCTTCTTTTTTTTCTTACGCGAGGGACATTAATCTCCATCTTACTTTTTCGTGTGTGTGTGTGGACAATGGACATATTTATCAAACGCATAATGTGTGAAGTTCTGTTATGTTTGGTATGTTTGACAGAAATTTTAATTGACAAAATTGTAGTAAGGGTAGGAAAGAGTTAATATAACCATGAATGGATTGAGTAATAGTTAGTATTTTTTACTAAGTTATATTTAGAGCAACTGCTTTGTTACTTTCATAGACACTTTACCCATAGAACTGAAATTGATGAAAGAGCACTTATAAAAAAAAAATAAAAATGAAGTGAGAGAACACTTCTCTATTGTTTTGTGATCAACAGTTATCAAAGTGAAAGAGGTTTTTATAGAACACTATATACTTTTCAAGCTTTATGGTATAGAACATGACCATTTTATTAACATTTGCATAAAATGAGTGCTTGAAATGAAGGTTTTAAGAAAGGTTAGTCGCGAGAAAAGAAAGGATATAACTAGAAAAGATTGCATTTTAAATTAGTGACATCAAATGTGGAACAAGGTCAAAGGGTCACTCCAGATGGTTTATCCATGTTCAATGAAGACCAAAGATTGCTTTGATATGGACCTGAAGTTGGGTTAATGCTCTCTTTAATTGAGTTGAAGACACTTTTTCATCAACTATTTTATTTGTTTTCAGTAGTTGTTTCCTAGTTGTGAGCGAAGAAACCTGGCACTCGATGTCTTTTAAACTTCTATATCTATTTTTTTTTACAACCATTCTTGCTTCAATGCAGGATGAGTGGTTGATTACCATTTAAACTCTTTAATTTTTGTTTGCAAGAAGCTATTCCAGTGGAAAAACGTCCAGTTATGCTGCAAATGTTTTCCGTACCAAGTTTGCATGGTTTTCTGTATAAATAATTATTGATGCTTCAACTCTTACGATTTTGCAGTGGCACAACTCACAACAAAGATCAAGTACCTGTCTACATCTTTGCACAAAAAGGTATATAGATTAATTATATATACTTGCATGCATCTTTTTAGTTGGTCATTAGTGCTCTTGATCACAAAATACGTTTTTTTTAAACTTAATATTAGATCTTTGTAATGATTAAGTGGTGATGTTTAATTTTGGTGGATGTGTATTTGTAAGGATATTGAATTTACTCTAAAAGATTTACGCAATTTACACTCCTGCCCTCTCAGTTTATTCTTTCTTGGGATTAGGGAATGAATGTTAATCAAATCTAATGCATTGAAAGTTACTAATTAGTTTCGCAAATGATAACGATAATCTGAATATTAGTAAAATTTAGCTATTGCTGTTGAGGGTATGGTGTCTGTCGTCAACTTTATATGTGAAACTAGTCATTTACTAAAATGTCTATGTTTGCTAAACTGATGCTAATAGTCTTTGGCGAGGTGTGTTTTTTTATTACACCGCAGTGTTGGTAAGAAAGAGCGTTGTAATGTTTAGGAAATCTCATATTTGTCGTTGGTTCTTTTGTTTTATAGATTATAATTTTCTTCTGCTGCAAATTTGCTAATGAGTTGCTAAATTTCGTAATAATAATAATAAAAAAATGCTATAGGATAAGCATTCTCGGAAGGGTCTTCAAGGCATGATTCAGAGGAGGAAGAAGTTGTTGAAGTATCTCCGAAGAACTGAATGGGATACCTACTGCCATGTTCTCTCTAAACTTGGTCTCCGAGACAACCCAGATTACAAGAATATTTATTAGTTGTAGTTCTCTGGAGAACAGAACATGTTTTTTGATATCCATTCTCTAGATCATCATATCAAGGAGCAGCCTAGAGAAGCTGAGATTGCTTGAGGAGCTGTTTATGGATTGTCCCAATGAATTTGTTAACTCTTTATTTTTTTCTGGTTTTTTTTTTTTTTTTTTTTTTTTTTTTTGGTAGTGTTCCATGTTAGTTCTTTGTAGTTAATCTGTTAATCCAAGTCATTAATTATTTGTTTAGAAACCTATCTTTATTACAACTGGTACTCAACTGATGTGAGGTAAATCCGCTCGATCACATGAATGAGCCTCTGCCATGATGCATACAGAATTCTTTATTTCAATTTCTAATAATTGTATCGTGCATACAAAGGGTGTTGCATAAATCAGCTTCGTGTTCTTGTCAGCCGCAAAATATCCCTAATGAAAGCATTAACGTTATCTTCAGAAGATCCTCCTTCAGCAATTGCTTGTCGAGAGATTACCTGAAGTTCTCTTGCCCGTCTACTCATTTCTTGTCTCTCTGGGCTTTCCAAATCCATGAACCTCCTCACAATGTCAGTAATTTCCTCTCTCCGCGCCAAATTTTCCATTCCCCACTCCCTCTTCACCCTCCACCCAATCCTCCAATCTTCTACTATAAACTTACTGATTGTGACTTGATCCATAAGTATAGGAAAAGTGAGCATTGGCACGCCTGCGAAAACACTTTCCATAGTCGAATTCCATCCACAATGGCTCCAAAATCCTCCTATCGAAGAATGGCTCAGTACCTTCAATTGGTCACACCAAGGCACTACCATTCCCGTGTCTCCACGAGCCTCCTTTAGCCTCGAAGCTTCCCCACGCTCCACCCACAAGTACTTAACACCACTAGCGTGCAACCCGGCTGCAATTTCATCCATTTGGGTACTTGAAACAGAAAGGTAACTCCCCATTGAAATGTACAAAATAGAGCCTTGAGGTTGAGAATCTAACCATTTGTGGTAGTCGGTGTCATTGGGAGTACTCATGTGATTAGAGGCATTGTCTCCAAGTGTAAAGTGAGGTATTAGAGGGCCAAAAGAGTACATAGGCATTGGCAATTTTGGTCTTAAAGCATTGATGACCTCAGCTTCAAGCTCAAATATGGTGGTGAACAAGAAAAATTGTGATTTAGACACTGGAGAAATTATTTTGATAACTTGGTTCAAGAAGTTTTGTTTGTTTTTGTAGAAGATTGTAGGCAAGTCAGCTAAACGGATTGATGATATTCCAGGGATGTAATCCACCCGCTCATTTCCTCTTTCTGTCACATAAAAACATACCAACAATTTTTTATCAATCTTTTTGCTAATTCGTAACATATTTTTACATATATAAATAAATAAATAGGTGGAATATATTATATTTTTACATGGGATAAAAAAAAAAAAAAAAACTGATGTTCGCCAACAATATGAAATTATTTTCAGCTAAAAAGAAATTAGTCCCCTACTCTCTCTGTCTCTCTCTCTCTCTTCAGTTTCCCACTTCTTGTAAACCTCCAAGTTCCACTGAATATTGAATTTAAGCAAAATTTGGGCTGTATATATCAACAAAACTTTCTTGTAATTTTTTCTATATTTCGCTATGGAAGTGTACTACCCCATCCGTTTCAAAATTATTGTCCCTTCTTAAAATTCTGTATAATAATGATAAGGAGTCTGTCAATCGGACACTGGGATGAAGCCAGAAATTAAGTTCAGGGGGCACAATGCAATAAATTTTTTTGAGGCTGGGCAATTTTAAAATTTTATAAAATTATACATACAAAAATAAAATATTTTAAAGTGGGGAAAGGAAATTAAATTTTTTTTAAAACATACATACAAAAATTAATTTTTGTAAAGTTGAGGGGGCATTAATTAAAATTTTAAAGAAATGTATATGCAAAAATGAAATTTTTAAAGTTAAGGGGGCAAATCTTAAAATTTTAAAAATCATGCATATAAAAATGCAATTTTAAAAAAGTCCCCAAAGCTTGAACTGGCTCCTTCCATGATTGGACAAATTCAATTAAACTCAAGTAAGTATGGTCTAACATCATCATCATTAGAGATATTAATGATATCATGATAGCGGTTAACCTCCACTCACATAAATCAGTTTAAGAGAAAATGATGCGTAAGCCTACCATTGTAGCCAAATTATTGGGGCCTAAGTATAATATGCCTTTGAATGCTATAGAGTGAGACCCATGTGAACGGCTGAGATGTTTTTAGGTTTAGCATTATGCCCACAATGTTGGACCTAAGTATCACAACTCCAACGGGAATTTAAGAGAAATGATAGGTCTCTCAACATCCATTGCCGACTCCTTCTTCGAATACAACGTGGCCCAGTCACGTTATAACTCTTTATAAATAAATCCTGTAAACATCTTTCTCTTCGACTCTCTCTCTAAATAGCTCTCCCTCTCTTCTCTCTTTGATTCTCTCTCCACAGTCCCCCTCTCTCTCCGTTCTACCATTGATCCTCAATCCTTCAACTCTCTGTTTCTACCATCATTACTCGATTCTACCTTTCTATTTGATCATGGAACTCTCTTTTTCATTCTTTGATTTCACATATCTTTTTCACATATATGTCCTAATCTAATGTCTGAATCTAGAATTATAAATCGGTCTTCTTAGCCCTAATCTAAATTTCACGGGTATGTTCCTAATTTTTTTTTTTTTTTGGAAAATTTTATGGGTATTTCATGAACAATTTCATGGGGATGTTACTGCTACACTAACTCGATGATTAATCTGAAGCAATGATCGCTTCGTCCTACGTGATGATTTTTATGTTGATTCCTTTTAATCTTTTTTTGTTTATGAATAAGAGTATGAGAAATATTTGATGGAAACAATTGAGGTGGAAAGACGTTTCATTTCTCAACATTTAATGCATTGTGCTTTTAGAATTACAAAACTACCTATTTAGAGTAAGTGCTAGATGTGTGTTATGTTTTCAAAAAGTTTGGTGATATTTTGAAAAGTTACTGAGATCTAAAAATGAAAGGAGGCTTAAGAATTTTGGAACCAGGAGTATATAAACTTTAACTCATCATTTTCTTTCTTGTATGAAAATAAAAAATAAAAGAAAGAAAGATATAACTGATTGACTCGTGGTCCACTAAATCATTCAGGTTCACATACCTGACAAATCAACAGGATAATGCTGGTTTTGCACCAAGAGGTCAAAATGGTAAATGAAGGAAAACACCGACACCGGCATAGGCCAAAGCGCAGCTACCGGAATATTTCTCCGATTCCCAACCTCAATCGCCCATGAAATACAAACATCAGTCATGATGATGGTTGGCGGCGGCTCCAGCCGGTCCAGGAGCTGCTCGAACGGTTCCTCCATCTTTGTCAGAGTGGCTTCAACGAAGCTGAGCATATCGGCGGCTCGGACCAGCTCGGAAGGCAAGACGTTTGGGATTGTGCGGAAGCGAATGTTAGCCGGCTTGGGCTCGGAGCCAATGAAGCCGAGCCACTCCTCCGTGACGACGAAGGTGATTAGAAGATGGTCGCTCCGAGAAGCTAGTAAGTTGCAGAGGTTCATCATAGGATTGATGTGTCCTCTTCCTGGATAAGGCAAGGCCACCACGTGGCATCTACCCATTGGTTCCATTTTAGCCACAGGTTTTGCACAGTATGACCGTCTACTCCGCTACTGTAACGGAGGACCTCGAGGAGAGAGAGCTATAGGACCACTGATCTACAGACTACAAGTGTATATAAAATCTTTCTCAGCATATGTGTTTGTATATATATATATATAAAGAAAGATTCCGGCCGGCAAGATACTTTTATTGACCAAAGCTAAGCGGCTGCGTCACCAAATATGGCTTTCTACCATTTCTTTATATTTTATGAATTTGATTATAGTGTATGACTATTCTTTATATTATCTGAATTTGATTGCAGTGTTTGACGTACGTTGTGCCAAGCTAAGGGTTAAGTACCCAAAAAATCTTGTACTCTTAAACAGTTTTTGTGTAATATAAAATTTCCTTCCATTATTAATTTGGTGTAAACAACATTTTTGGAATTTAAAATGATCATAAGGGCATGTAAATAGAATAAATTAATATGTTACAATAACCCATATAAAATGATCATTTTGTCCCTTTTAGAACCCCGTGTCTCTCCTCTCTTATTCCTCTCAGTTTTCTCACTCCTCTCTACCTCATCTTCTCCATCATACCACGCCACCAGAATTGTAAAGCCCTTTTGGTTCTTTCAAAGGTAAATATCCTAACAACTTTAATTAAGAATCAGAGTGAGCAACTCTTTTTTTCCTATAAGATGAGCTTTATCCATGTCAATAATTTATCCCGAAAAAGTTGTGTCAATAAATTCTTAGAAACCAAAATAGATTGCAAATCCAGAATTAACGTTGCAGCTATAATCAAAATTCACCAGACACGGTATAGAATTGTTCTCAACGAAATAATAGAATTTTTCATTGAACAAAAATTCTCCATATATTATCCTAAAATTAATTCATCTCTCTACATCAAAACCCAAAACCCAGATTAGAGTCGTTGATCAAACCCTAAATATATGAGAAGTAGATTAAAAAAATAGATAATTGTATAAAAGCCTATAGGAACAACTAAATATCATCAAGCAATTTCTCAACATAATTAATGATAAAAAAAGGCATTAAAAACTAATCATTGGCAAAGTCATAACTATCAGGGGAACATTTGAATTATATTATAAAAGAAAAATCAATAGACTTACACATTCTTGATCCAAGAATCTAAATTGTCCACTGACCTAAAGCAGATCAAACTCCAATGACTACAAACAGATATTGATGAAAACAAGCAAATTCAATGGAACTTCTATGCGTGTGTATATATTTCTATGGAACTTCCATATGTAAGGGCTATCTCCTTCCAATGAGAACTATACACGTCATTGCAATGTAAATACCCATCACAAATGTCAGAGGCCCATCCTACTCAAAGCCCAGTCCAAGCTCATTGACAGCCCAAAGTCATAAGACACCAACCCAAGGTCGCAGATAATTGATCTCTGCAGCATTGCTCAAGCCCGGAACAAGAGATCCAGCCCGTTAGCAATGTCACATGGATCAAGTTACTCATAGCCCAAATCCATTATAAGGAAATTAGTCCTATTAGAAGAAGGATACAGCAAAGAAAGAAACTACTACACAAGGAAAATTATACAAAGGAAGGAGCTCTATTTGTAAAGAATCTCTGTAGGGAAAGAATTGGAGGACAAGCAATGCGAGTCCTACCATAATTCAACCAATCTTTTGTGTATAAATAGAGGCCCAGACCTCCAATAAAAGGATCAAGCAATTCTACACTTTTCTATACGGTGTTCTTATTTATTCTTATTATTTTTGAGTGAGTTGTTTTATTTTTCTCAATCATTATTGGTTGAGCGAAATTTTGCACCTACACTTTGGCGCCGTCTGTGGGAAACGTGTGCAAATATATTCCCACTCTTGTTTTTGTTTCACAAGTGAATCCTGCAACTACCATCCAGAATGTTGAACGGAGGATCTTCAATGGATCAACAGACGAAGTTGATGCAGAAGATGCGTGAAGAGTTTCTACACCAGTTTGACGTACTTCGTCAGGCAAACGAAGCAAGCGTGGCTTAGATCGCCTTGTTTCAACAGCAGAATAACACTCTGTAAATGGCGTTGGCTCAGTTAGCACCACCGCTACCAGTGGGTGACACAGCAGCACCCCCTAGTCAGAATATTCCTCCAATTACTGGACTACCACCTGATGGGGCTCCACTTAATGCGGCACGACCTAATGAGGCTCAGCCGAATGAGGTTCAGCAACAACGGAGGGCAAGATCCGAGGTTGCGGCTTCAGATAACGTCCTTCGTCACACACAGGATGAGCAAGTCGAATCCAACCATAAGCTTACGGTGTGGTCCAATGGAATCCCAGATGGTGCAGGTGTTCAGGATGCCTTTGACGAGAAGAGACTCCTGAAGATTTAGACACTTGCCAAGATGGCTAGAGAACACAAAAATTCCTTGGTTAAAACTCTTTTCATTGAAGATGTGTATCTGGTTAAGAGGCCCAAGAATTTACCATGCCTTTTTTCACCCAGTTTGATGGAACAGGGGATCCTTTTCGGCACCTAGATCATTACGCTCAAAAGATGGCTTTGGATGATCATAATGACCCTTGGATGTGCAGAGTTTTTCCTACCAATTTGACAGGAGCAGCACTAGAGTGGTTCAGGAATAGACTGCATAAGTCCATCCCGGATTACGTAACTCTATGCACCATGTTCCTGGCACAGTATTGTGAAAATAAGAAGCAAAAGAAGAGTATTGCCAGCCTCTTCACCGTAAGGCAAAAAAGGGGGGAAACATTGCAGGATTTCTTGTTAAGATTCAACATGGAAGCCTCAGAAATAGCGGATTGTCATCCCGCAACTGTTATAGAGACATTTAAACTCGCGATGATTCAGGGACGAAGTTCCACACTTCCTTAGTCAAGTATTCTCCTCCTGACATGCAGACTCTCAATGCCAGGGCCCAGATCTACATTCGGCTTGAGGAAAATATAGCCCACCGAGCGCAGCACGCCACCCTCGTGACAGTGGAAAACAATCCTTGAGAAAGAGTTCCAACTCCAAAGATTCAAAAAAGCCAGCATTCCTCAACGCCAATCACCCAGGCACCTGAAAAAAGGCAAAGGGTAGAGGAAGGATTTACACCTCTCTGAACTACCTTAGCTTGGCTCTTCCAAGAAAATAAGATGAAGTTCACAACTCCGTAACCAATAAAGCAACCCCTGGAGCAAAGGGACAAAAGTAAGCATTGCGCTTATCATTGAGATTATGGGCATTCAACCAATGATTGCAGATCCCTCAGGCGACAGGGGGAGAATATGATTGCCAGAGGTGAGTTGACAGATTACCTCATGACAAAGGAGTATGCAAAGCCCTGCGAGGTCAATCCCCGCAAGGTAGAAGGTACGCAAGTAAAAGTCATCCATGCAATACATGGCAGGTCTGAAGATGATCAAGAGTTTGAAGAGGTATACAGATCCAGACTGAGGGCAGCCCACAAGCTCAGGAGGATATCCTCTGTCAGTGCTATCGCTTCGGGTAACATCAGTATTGGATTCGGAGATGGCGACCTATCCAGAGTTCAACTCCCCCACGAGGATCCATTGGTCATCAGTCTTTTAGTGGCCAATTGTATGATCCGGAGGGTTTTGATAGATTCAGGAAGTAGCGCCAACATAATCACAAAGACGGTCTTTGAGCAGCTAGAGATCTCGTCGTCATCTATTCGACCTACCTCCAGCCAGTTGATGGGGTTCGATGGCACAAGAGTAGATCCCCTTGGAGTAATAGACTTGTTCGTAACCGCGGTGAAGAGGACTCTGAAGGAGAACTTTGTTTTAACAGAGATCCATCCTTCTTACAATCTCATTATGGGAAGAGGCTAGATACATCGGATGAGAGGAGTTCCGTCCACCTTTCACCAGGTGATGCGGTGCTTATCTCCGGACGGGAAAGAAGTAATTAATCTGTGGGGCGATCAAGTCGCAGCAAAGGAATGCTATATGTTGACACAAGCTAAATCAAAGAAGGTGTCGACTCAACAACAACCAAGTGTGGCTTCCAAAACTGGACCCAAATAGCAATTACAGAGCCCTCTGCCCAAGTGTCTTAAGGTAGAGGAGGAAGAGAAAATTGCGAAGCCCACCAAGATGACCCTTGAAGCCGTGGAAGTTTTCCTCAGCGACCCTCAGAAGGTTACCTATCTAGGCTCTTCCTCCCTGTCCGAAGAAAAGGAGGCATTAATTGATGTTATCTGGAGCAATACAGATGCCTTTGCGTGGGATCACTCGGACATGGTAGGGATCGATCCCTTAGTTTCCTGCCATAGTCTGAAAGTGGATCCGGAGTTCAAACCAGTTAAGCAGAAACACTGAAAGTTTGCCCCCAAACGCAATCACATTATAGCTGAAGAAGTGAACAAATTGTTACAAGCAGGTTTCATTCGAGAAGTGCAATATCCACAGTGGCTGTCAAACGTGGTAGTCGTACAAAAGAAGAATGGAAAATGGATGGTTTGTGTAGACTATACCAACCTTAACAAAGCCTGCCTTAAAGATAGCTTCCCTCTGCCCAAGATAGATCAGATGGTTGATGCTACCACCGATTACGAGAGACTGACATTCCTAGATGCATACTCGGGATACAATCAAATTCCTATGAATCCCGAAGATGAAGAAAAAATGGCTTTTATTACAGAAAAGGGGACTTATTGTTATAGGGTCATGCCCTTCGGACTGAAGAATGCTGGAGCTACGTATCAACGCCTTGTCAACAAGATATTTGATAATCTGTTGGGAAAGACAGTTGAAGCATATATAGATGACATGGTGGTTAAAAGTGTGAAGAAAGAAGATTATCCGAAGCATCTATAGGAAGTTTTTAATACCTTGAAGAAGTACAACATGAAGCTGAATCCATCCAAGTGCTCCTTCGCGGTATCATCAGGTCAATTCCTCGGCTACATAGTGAATAAAAGAGGGATAAAGGTAAGTCCGGCTCAGGCTAAGGCCCTCATCCAGAATCAAGAACCAAAAAATCGCAGGGAGGTGCATGTTCTTACCGGTCGAATCGCAGCCCTCAGTTGGTTTATATCCCGATTGTTAGATAAGTGCAAACCATTCTCCGATGCTATACGATCTAAGAATAAAGATGTATAGGGACCTCAGCAGCAGGAGGCCCTCAGTCGGTTGAAAGGTTACATGGCCGAACCACCAATTCTATCCGCTCCAAAACCCGGGGAGGTTCTTATTATGTATTTGGCAATTTCTAATATAGCGACAAATGCAGCATTGATTAGAAAGGAAGGAAAGAGGCAATATCCAGTCTTCTACACAAGTAAGACCATGACAGATGCGGAGACACGATATAGTAAAGCAGAAAAAGTCATCTTAGCCTTGATCTATGCCAAGAGGAAG